AATGACCCTGTACAACCAGCAACCTGATTGTTAACTCAAGTGGAGCATTGTTAACCCAATCACCCCATCAGTTGCTCATGCAACTCCGAATGCTTTGTGTGAGGATTTTTTCAGAGACAAGATGTCATCTGAAATCTCACACAAACCAGCATCCCTAATGTCCCAACTTTTCTCTGTCCACAAACTGACCTCTTTGGCTCACTTCTGTCATTTGCACATGCAATTGAGGAATATAGAGTCTCTGAGATCAACATTTAACTGGAGTCCTCCCTATAGAACACTAGGGTCTATAGGCTGACACACATACAGACCAAAGATCATGTTCATATCTGCAGGGATAAGAGTCAAGACACAAAATGCCCTGGAAGCTTGCACGACAGGGAAGAACTGCAGGCATCCTTGGAGAGCCCTGTGGAACGAGGAGTAGGAACACAGCTGCCATGGCATGTACATCTGCAGGGATTCAGCTGCTGTGGAATAGCCCAAAAGCAGTCCAAGATTTTCCAAGGCATCACAACCACCTCTACAGTGACTCTAGAAACCACATCACCTTCAGGCAAGAGATGTAAAGGTAACTGACATTATTTAAGTAGCATTCTATTATCTAAGCATGCTCATTATATATAATTAGTGCACATATTACAGATGTATAGAATACATTCCTGTTACAGATAATATTGTAATTTCTGGATTTTAAGATTCATCTTAACATCAAACATTCTGGCTGACTGGAACAACTCTCCTCTTCCTCGGCATGCACAAAGCACCACAGAGTGCTTATATGCACACACTCACAAACAGTTTTCAACATGTTGCAGGCTCTCATTATATAACAAAGTCCCTTTGATGTGTCTGTCTGTTGCCTGAAAACCAGTGTGAGACTTCCATGGTCCACTGGGAGCTTCAGTTTAATTAAGTCTTTCATTTCTACATGGGGCCTGGTACGATCAGTGACAGAGGCAGTCAGGTAACAACTTCATGGGAAGTCTTCATAGTCCTTCCACCTATTCATTATCACTTCTTTGTCTTAAAACACCTATTTCTAGTGGGATCAATAAGCAAATTTGGAAGACATTCTAGCAGCTGAATAAAGCACACACTTTAAATGGATAGGAGCATGTTTCCAGAGAAACCTGTTACATAACTCTTGTTAAAAAGATAAACTGGACCCTAACACATCCTTTTCTGCTAGCAATAGCTTTACAAACAGGTAAAAAACTTTGTGACTTGGCCAGTCTCCTCTCTTTATGCATGACACTATGTTGTCTCACTGCAGTAATGGCAATGGAAGGAGCAAGCAAGGCACCCAGATATCCTTTCAAAGCCTCTAGGTGTTCAGTGTCTGGTAACTCTAACACTACCAGGCTTCTTGCACCCTGCTGTCTGCTCTCTGGCTCTTTGAAGAGAGATGATGACTGCAGCTGGGGTTCAAAGTTCCCCTAGTCTTTCAAGGGAGGGAGCAGAAAGAAGCTCAAACATCTTAGAACACAGGAATACCTACAGGGGTTGTGAGATCCATAGGATTTGTTATACCATTTACGGTGCTAACAGGCAGGAGCTGTGCATGCTTCAGCCAGGGATAGGATGGGACCACCACACTAGTGACAAGATTGCAAGGAACCTCTGCAGGCTGGAACATGCCGAACTTCCCATCCTTGAAGCTGGATTTTTCCATTTGATCAGTTCCCAGCCTGCTAATCAAAGTGGTATCACCCTTGGAAATAGCCTAGAGGAACAAACAATATAGTGTATTGAAATGGAATGAAAACCAGGCAAAGGCATGGGTGAGGTACAGCGGCTACAAACAAGTATTGAGCTGCCTTGCTCAGGGCAGCATCAGAAAAATAAATAAGGTAAAGGTGGAAAAGGGAGTGGAATTTATTATCTAGGTTCAGCTATGTCTACATGGATTGAGCACTGCCATGTAAAATGTGACTTGTCTGAACACTCAGTCTTTGCTATGGTTGGTCAAACTGAGGTGAGGTGATATCAGGCGGTAGGTGCTCATTGGTCCCCTCGGGGGAAGAGGAGGGTAGGGCACTCCTGGAAGCAGGAAGGTTGAGTCACTCAGCTCTATTCTCCTACAAGTAGTCATGCAACATAGGAGATTAGATATGTAATCTGTGCTGTTGTCAAAGTGGTAAATGAATAAAGATGTTGTAAAAGGAACGGAAACTCATTCAAATGAAATAGTGTGTGAAAGTGAGTAGAAAATACATTGCAGAAAATAACTTTAAAGAAGCTGAAATTTTACAGATTCTTAAGTAGTACTGCACTGCCAGAGCTATATGCTGGGCATTAACAATGCCTCCCCATTTCCTAGTAAATATAAAGATACATCTAAAATTTTCTAGATAACACTGTCATATATTAGGAGATAACTTTGGAAAAACTCTTACTTTCAAATTTTTCTCTCCCCATTTAAAAACAAAATCAATTTTTTGACTCTCCAAAATTTGGTGAGAGTGTGAGAATTTGTGGGAGTATGTGGGGACTGGGTTCACTTAAAAAGATCATATATAGTCTAAAGTAGTTATCAAATGTGTAAGTATTCCATATTGCAGGGAAACTCCCTGAAACTTCTTTACCTCTGAAGCTAGAATGAGTTTCCTATCTTCAAAAGCCCTATCCTTCTTTCCCAGTGAATATTCAAATTATAATACCCAGGGTTGTTTGGAGAAACAAACTATACTGCCTAGAAAGTAAGCTACTTTTCCCCAAAGATATTCTTAATAACTTTAAAATACCTAGAAGTTAGCTGGATATTTTCAAGAACGAATACATGTAGTCCTTCTTCAGAATGATCTAATCATGAGGCATGAGAAGGGGGCCCCTGGAACTCTGAAGACCTCTGTTTGTTTCCTGATTCAGCCATGGATTTTCTCCCCATGACTGCGAAGTTCATCCAGTTTTCCTACACCTCATTTCCCGAGGTGTAAAATGGGGCTGATTTTCCATAACTCAGGTTGATGCTAAGAAAGCAGAGATCCTAATGTTTTCACTATAGTAGGGCAGAGGACTTGGGATGCACAGACATAATTTAAATCCATTCATTGTTTTCCTCCTTGTCCTACTATAGATGGTTTTAGAAAAGTCACTACCACCATTATTCTAAGTTATTCAAACATGAAGTTCTGACACAATGACAACTGGTGCACCTAAGGAAGAGAGGCACAGAATAGATCTCAGCTGTAAACTTTTTCATAATGACCACAAATCCTAAGATGAAGAATGCCAGGCAATGTGTTATTTATCCTAACTAGCTTGACTCCAGAAGCTCCAAAGTTATACTGACCTAACTGTCTCTGTAAATGCCCAGAAAAAAGTGACTTTCATGTATTTGCTTTCAAGTGATTGTTTTGTAGGTGTAAGACTGAAATACAAGATCTGCTAAGTGCAGTGAGAACTTAGATGCACCTAGCTGTAGACTTGTGGTCTGTGCAATTATGGCAAAGGCTGTTTGTGAAGTTAAACTCCAGATAGATTTGCCTCAGACTCCGCTATTCTGAAATGTGCCCTTCTGAAGAACAGCCAAAACTACACACCCATGGATGTTAAAAATCCCATCCTTTAGCTGAGACAGTTTTGATATCTTCACTCTCATATTAACCCACCTTCCAAGGAAAAGGCTGCATGGAGATCTCCTTTTTCTCCTGATACTCCACACTGTCCTTGTAGGATACTGGCACGACTGCATGTATCACAGGTGAAATGTGCCCAGGAACCGTTCAGGTTGAGCATCGTTTTCCTCCTGCAAAGAGCCACACCTGAAGACAAAAGTCAGTCCTGAAAGAAAACAAGAAAATGAAGCAGCAAAAATGTAATGCATCCCTGAAGAGGAGCACGCAGCTCCCACACACAGATCCAGGTCCTGACAGTCCTGCACATGGAGATGTAACTCACAGCTCTGGAATCCCAAGCTGGAATTTGCTCTGGGATATGTCACTGCAAACTCCGTGTGCCTGGCTGGCCAGCAGCCCCAGGGAGAGCAGTGCCTCCTGGAAACTCAGAGCCGGGCACATCACGCTTCAGGCAACAAAATACTTACTGTAGTACTCGTGAGGGTAATGGCAGCTAAGGGTAGTTAGGATTGCACATTTTCCAAAACATCTGCAGCAATTGAGCCTCTTAAGCCAGGCCTGCCCAGTGCTCTGGTTGTGATCTGTGACTATTATACAGGTGTCTGTGTACGGGGTTAGATACTCGGAAATAATTGCTACAGTGTATGGTTGCTTGAGCCAAATGTGTGCTCCTAATCCTTCCTCTGCACCTTTTGGCTTTCTGATCTCAACAATCTCCTAATCCGAAATGGAATAGGCCAACACACAAAGTGTCTAGCAGCTAGAACTCACCTGCACTTTCAACACTTAGCATAGCAACCTTAATAATAAGGAGCTGGTAGCTGGTTTTCCACCCTGCTTATCACCAGAATGGCTGTGTCTTCCAGCCTCCACAGAAGTTAGTACTGATGCCCTTTTTACTGGAAATACGCTTTGCCATGGGCATCAGTCTAAGTTAACAGCCAGTAATACTGGGTAATACTCAGTGTTTCCACAGAACGTGCGGAGACTGGAACTTCAGTAAGAAGAACCTGCTTCTTTTTTTTGCCATTAAGACTTGGTAAAATACAGCTGAATCTTTCTCAAAAAAAGTTCGCCTGACTAATAGCATCCCACATTCAAGGTATTGGTCACACAGAGGTTGCAATATTGTAAGTAGCAAACAAAATATCATCTGAAGCACTTACAAGAGCCTCTACAATACTATCCTCTTTAAAATACCGCAGCTAATGCTTGACCTGATGCCATGCCTTCTTCCCAACTCTGCCAAAATAATTTCAACCCCGTGTAAGAAGGCTTGATTCCTACTAACAAGTAAAAAAAAAAAAAAAAAAACAAAGCTATGTGTTTAGTAGCACTTTCCTCTCTTATTGAGGACTTCCACCTAAATTTAAGTATTTTTCCTAAGTTAGTTCTTCATTGTAAAGAAAATACTAATCATATTAAATAATGGTAAGCGCCTTTATTTCTGTAGAAACAAGACAGAGTAACATTAAAATGCCCTCCCCAGACATACTCATTTCAATGAAAGTGAGTATATGTGACAATGAAGGGATAGAAGGAAGTTGCAGGAGTTGAGTTACTCATAACATCTTACAGATATTTTCTCAAATATTCTAGCGGTGGGATAATTATGGAAGGGAATTGCCTATATTCTCTCAAGAAATAGAAATATTATTTTAATTTGCTAGAAAAGCTGAGGAAAATTGTATTTCATTAAAGTTCAAGTTTCTCCCAGTGAACTGCTGTGGTAGGAGACCATGCCAAAAAATGCAACTTATATATTAAATTTTTTCAGCTAGAGTTTCAAATATTAGCAAAGCTCAGTTGCCATTATTAAGCTTTACATTTTCTAAAATCTCTATTTTTGTAGAGGTCAGATTTATTTTTTTTTAATTACAGATGAAGTCTAATGCATACAAAAGTATTTATTAGTGTTGTCCATACATAAAGAAAACATGAAATGGAACTTCAAAAGAACATACAGGCAATGTTAAGCACAAATGCTTTAGTAAGAGGTCCAGTCCTGGGTCCATGAATGAACTTGTGCAAGTCATTTTATCTCTACATCTCTGTTTACCTGCCAGAAAATGAGTACAATGTGTTTCATACTCATGAAGAAGAGAAACTTGAAGTTTTCAAAGTTTTCTGACATCGTTTAATGAGAGTAGAAAGCTGAAGCTTTGCAAAATTACGGAAAAATCTGAAAACCTTTTTTCTGTTCATTATCATGATCATGAAAAACTAATGATAATGTAGTTCCCTATCACATTATTGCTTGCATTGGCTGAGAAAGGTGAAGTCTGTAAAGCTGCAAAAGTATTTTTAAAACTGCTTTATAAGCAACATTTTGCCTGGATCCTGTGAAAGATCAATCTTTGACAAAGGCTTAGCACTTACAGAGAAATATAGTTAAACACAGAGAGAGAGAGAATATTTTGAATATATTTTGAAGTTTACTTTTCTTAATAATTTTTAGGTCAAAAGTATTGTACAGAAGTACAGAACCAAGGAGTGCATAGCACTGAATTCATCACTTTGGCTAGCACAGCTCAAAGAGGAGCAAGGAGACTAATATACTTTTGTGTAGAATACATAACATCCATTGGTAACACCTGTGTAGCAATCTAAGTGCAAATAAAATCTGTAACATCTTCAACTACATCAAGTGTACTCTGTTGTGTATATACAAAACCAGAAAAATATATGCCTTTTTTTCTTATATACACTATGTAACATGAGAATAAAATCTGATATAGGTTGCAGTAACTTAGATGAGACTGGACTTTCATGATACAGAGCTTTAGAAACATTTCCTCAGCACTTTTTGTCTTGCACCATTGTGATAAAAAAGTTGCAGAAAGAAAGCAAGCTCTCTGGACAGTATTCCTCAGCCACCTTTTTCTGATCAATATAATCTATGTCTTCAACACAGTCTGGAGGACTGTGTTCTAGCTTTTTTTCAGTCACAGAGGCAGCTGCTGGAGTCTGAAGAACTTCTTTTTCATGATGAATTGTGTTCCCTTTCACAGGACCCACTGATGGTAGTAGGCTTGATCTGACCAACTTGAGATGAGCACTCCGTGGGCCTTTCCTGCACACTTTAGATTTCAGGACACTTTTGGGGTCTTGACAAATCTGCTTCTGCTTCTTTAGGGATCGGGAGACTTGTTTCCAGTAGGATTTCTGGTTTGCTGCATACTGTGGACAGGTGGAAGGGTCTCCAGAGAATTCGCACCAGAACTCGCTGTCACCGTGCTTGCACTCTATGTGCATAGTAGCAGCATTCATTTCGGTCACTGCCCAGGTGCACTCAGCATTTTCTTTGCTTTTAAACTTGCCTTTAGGAGATGCTTTTCCTCCTTTTGACTTCCGCCCTTTTTCATTTTCAGATTCAGTTTGCTTTTTCCCACCGTCTTCTATGACTTGTCTTCCCTTTTTTCTTTCCTTCTGTCTTTCACAGTTGGCTAGCAGCATCTGGGAGACCAGAATCAACATACAAAGAAGTCCAAAGCTTTTGATCCTCATGACGTCTGTTTTGGTTGTTATCTGCCTTCAAGACAAACAAACAAACAAAAATAGAAAACATTTTCCACTTAATGCTGGACTCCACTTGACAGTTGCAGTATTTTGGACATGGTATTGCACTGCTATTTAATACCTATTAAAGTGATGTCAGTGGCAAAATCCTCTGTCCTTTGTGTGAATAATAGCTAGTTTCTAGAACCATTATGTATTCTTGAGAACTGTAGATGGCTATGGAGTAAGTCCTTCTGATCCAGTGACTTAATTATCTATGCAATGTGGAACACAATATAATCACTCCCAGGATGTACCACTGCCCGGTGACTGAGGTACATTAATTAAAATCTCTTCTGCAGTCAGAGAATGAATTTGAACCTGGGATTTGTCAATCTCAGATATCTTAAGATACACCACATAAAGCAGTTGTTGCTCCTATGATCTCCCATTTTGCAAATGGCACATAAGCAGTTTTGACTCCAACCTCTGGCTATGATTCAAAAATACGCCAGACAGAAAGGAAACTATTTGGTTCAAGATAAGCAAAATCATTTCTTAGGCATCCAGAAAACTGTCTTAATTCATTGACTATACCAGTATTTCAGTTTTCTGTTGAAAAAAATAATGATAGTAGCCTTTCCAGATACCAAAGTAACTATTGATGCACTCTTTTCTGCCTTGACTGCTTAACAAACAGAACTATCTTTTTGCTTTTGAAGACACTTGCAGTGTATAGGGCTGTGTCTAAAGCTACCAAATTCAAGGGACAAATATGCAACTTCAGTTTTGGAATGGAGATATCTGTCAAATCATTATTATCAACCTGATCTCTGCATCTGCAAAGAGCACATCTATTTCTGTAAGTGTTTCTCTTTACGAAGCAGCTTTCAGGATCAGAGCATACCACAATAGTAGAGGGTTTAAATCTGGCATTTAGTTGATCAAATCCTTAAATGTATTTTTCCATCATAGCCATTTCTGTAGCCAAGTTTCTGCGTTAGAAAGCAGAAATTCATGTGTAGGCACACTAATAAGGAACTTATTTCAACACTCAACTATCTGCAAATATTTTCAGTTACATAAATTTAGAATCTAAAATACATAGCAGCAGATGTGAGCAGGTCCTACTTCTGCATAGTTCTTACTTGACTTGCTTCATGCCTTACACAATACACAGAGATTTTCACTCCATAAAACCTTCTTTAGAGAACATCATATAGTATTCACAGTTCTGCTGCAAATACAGCAACTAATAACATTAAAACAAATAATGATGTTACAGTAATCCTCTGTTGCAAGAGGAACAGTGCAAAAGTAAGATAACTAAAAGACATACCTTGCACAGGCCTTATAGATATCCAAATGCAACTCCTGATGCAGCTCTCTTCCAAAAGAATTAGAGGTAGTTGTAAAAGCAGCATGGCATTTATAAAGGCACAGACACACCTTCAGTTCTCCAGCAAGACTATTACAACACAATAGGATACTTCAGTGCCCGGTTCGTTTACTTCTGACACACCTCCTTGGAAAAGTGCCAGTTCTCAGAACAAAAAAAAAAAAAACAGCTATGGTGGGGTGACAAGGTGTGTTTGTGTAAATTAGATGTTACTTTAGCCAAGTCCTTCCCTCTTCATGAACGTTGATAAGAACTTTATTAGATCATAAGCTTCTCTAAAAGAGCTTTTCCCAGCCACTGAAGGATGTATCCTGCAATGCCCTCAACAAATTGCACTACCATTGTGTTTAGCAGAATTTGGGTAGTAGTGTTCAGTGATTCTTTGTGAAATGAAAACTCTTTCACAAAGCGTTTCAAAGTTACCTTTTGAACATTTTGTTACCTCTTGTCACAAAAACATATTGGAGAACATTTAAAAGTCAAAATGAATAATTCCCTTACATTAAGGACAGCATTCATTATGGTGAGATGGTCATAAACGCAAATGTCAGAGGCAAATTCAAGCTCTCTCAGAATTAGTGACTCTATGGGCTCTAAGAGCTGAGATCAGTTGCACAGCACTGATCTATGCTCTTCCCTCTCTGCCAGCTTTTGTCTATGTACAGAAGTGGGTTACATCATGAGATTTCATTCTGGGACCATGTCTAATGCATATTAACCCAAAAAACATAATGACAGTGAAAGAGCAAGTATTAGACAAATATAAAAATGCATTCAGAGTTGGAAATAGGCAACCCTTGAAGAATGGATAGAGCAACTAGTGCCTTTGTAGCTTGGTTGCGTCAGGTAGTTTTACTGGAGAAAAGTAAGTGGGACATTTGTTTTATATGCCTGGGAAATACAAGAATAAAAGGTGGGATGCAAAAAGAGATAAAGGTAGAGATTGGTGTAAGATATAGGCAGGTCTTTCTCTTTGTCTCCTTCCCATCAGATATAAATGGAATGAGACAAAGGGACAAAGCTATAGGCAAGGTATTGTCTGGACTGGTTTGGTGATGAGGAGACTGGTAATTTAATGTGAAATCAGAAGCCAAAAAAAGAAATAAAAAGTGTAATTCCGCAATGAGTGCATGACAGAAATGTGGGGAATTGGATTAATTTAATTCAAATACAAGGGTCTGATATGTGTGCCAGGACTCTCTCCTAATCAATTTATGTACATTCATCTACTTTTGATACTTTCTGATCAAGTTGAGCCATCAGATCTGCCTTGTGTGCCTTTGATTGGAATAAGTTAGTATGAAACTGTTAGTAACAGTCCACACAATGTGAAAGATTTGTGGTTAGCACCGGCAAGGGGTAATAAATAGGGGTGAAGATGGCTCAGGTATCAAAAAATGTTTAACAGTGTGTCAGGTTGGATGGAGATCAGGGAATGAAGATAATGTAAGAGATAAGTGAGGGAGGGACTATCTTGCTCAGGAATCCTAAACACCACGTAGTACTCACAGTATCATCTGGAGTATTAGTATTTAGCAGGGATCCTCAAATCTGTGCAGCTGCATTAATGTAGCCTAGCTAATGAGCTTCTCATCAGGGCTAATTACTTGGGGGACAGCATCAGGCCAAAGTGGCTATACTACCTCAGGTTCCAGCACTAATTCAGGTATGTCTTTGTCATGCCCCATTGCCTTGTGTAAGCATAGTATAATGTGACCAGCAGGTCAAGGGTGGTGATTCTCCAGCTCTACTCCACCCTTGTGAGACCCCACCTGCAGTAATGTGTTCATCTCTGGGGTCCCCAACACCAGAAGGACATGGAGCTACTTGATCATGTCCAGAGGAGGCCACGAAGATGATCAGGTGCTGGAGCACGTCCCCTGTGAGGACAGGCTGAGAGAGTTGGGGTTGTTCAGCCTGGAGAAGAGAAGGCTCCAAGGAGACCTTATAGTGACTCTCCAGTACTTAAGGGGGGCCTACAGGAAAGATGGGGAGGGATTTTTCATCAGGACAAGTAGTGATAGGATGAGAGGTAACAGTTTTAAACTGAAAAAGGGCAGGTTTATATTAGATACAAGGAGGAAATTCCTTACTGTGAGGGTGGTGAGACACTGGCACAGGGTGCCCAGAGCAGCTGTGGCTGCCCCCTCCCTGGAAGGGTTCAAGGCCAGGTTGGACGGGGCTTTGAGCAACCTGGTCTAGTGGAAGGTGTCCCTGCCCATGGCAGGGGGGTTAGAACAAGATGATCTTTAAGGTCCCTTCCAACCCAACCCATTCAATGATTCTGTGATTCTATACTTTGATTTTTGTGTTACAGATCAGGGGCTTGGTTCAGACATATCACAAAAATAAAAACAAAAAACCATCAACACACATCTCCTTACTGTGGCTGAAAACTATCTACAAATAGGAAAGACAAAAAGGATACAAAGTATGTAAGGAACCGTGGCTGATGGAAACAAGCACGAGGTTTGCAGTAAGGAACTACATGTTCCTGTCCCAGTTCTGCCATAGACTTTTTCACAAATACTCACTAGGAGATGCCAGATGTTTTTTTACCTGGAAGGGGAATATTCTTGTAGATGATGCTGCAGTGGTTTTTTTGTTGATCTCTACAAGATACCATTTGGTGGTGAAACTAGTCACAATGTACTGAAAATATTTAAGCCCTTTGGTGTTCATCACTTCCAAAATTGCCTATTTTGGCAGCTTTGCCTAGCAAAATAGGTTTCTATGTCAGTCTCAGTTCAGCTGCCCCATTGTTGATTGGACATATCAGTGTAGTCTATCTGCTTCATAACAATGGGGGAAACACAAAGAGTATAGGCTGTGCAAGAGAAGATTTGCCTTTCTGCTGTTTTGATATTCCCTCCCTGAGGTCATGGCAGACTGGACACACATTAGCTCTCCCCATCTTTAGCATGCTGAAACTTCTGTAGAGAATTCTGTAGTCGAGTGCTTGTTGATATGGGTGATTACATCTTTGAGATGATCTGTCTTTACCCAGATGGATCTCTTGCCTAACCTGTTTAGATGTTTTCAACATTCCAGTAACCCAAGATTTACTTATTTAGGTGCATAAAATGTATTCTCAGTCTATGGAGGTTGGCCTGGATACCCTGCAGTTTTATTGCTGTGCTCCCAGAATATCTTTTTGGTTTGTTTTGCTTTAATTACACGTTAACTGATGTTTTATGGATGCCTTTTACCTACCTGGGTATATAGTGCATTTTCATACTGTACCCCAATAATCTTGCTGGGAGCTGCCTCATCAGGTGATCAGAACATTTGTTTTCTTCAACATTCATCTTGAAAAGAAAGCATGCAAAATTAAAGTAGGACCTCCAGTTCTTAGGTGTTTGATTAGCACATAATTGTCAACAAAAAAAAAAATGCAGCAAAAACTTGTTTAGAATATGATTTCCAGTATTTTTTTTTCCTCTCATGAGCATTTAAAAATATACCTTAGTCTTGCCCTTTGCTGAGCTGAAATGCTGTTTGCATGTAAACCATAGGCTGTTTTGCTGCAGAACGAACAGTGAAGACTAGTAATTGAAAGACAATTTGATCCATGCAACATATAGCAAATCTGAACAGCTAATTTGCAAGATCAAATTACTGGGGAGCTGTTTAGTTATTAAAATAGAAAGGCACAGAAAACATTTGGCAACACTAGCTAATAAAAGTAATCACTGAGAATTACAGAAGTGGATGCCCCAAACCCAATCTGAGTTTTTTATGGAAAATCTTAATCCAGACATATTCCTGCCGTCTTTTGACTGAAACTTGAGACAGCTAATCAGCATTTTAAAATTTTCATTAGAACTGCTATAATTAAATCTACCTGGTATCTTTCTGCTGTTCAAGCAAGGAGAGGAAGAAGTTTTATGCCTATTCCTAACTATGATTTACTGCTGTGGAAGAAATGCAGTATTTTCTAAGTTAGTCCTTATTGCTGCTTATATGTTATCTTCAAATGAATGCATTTTTATAAAGGAAATTATTATAATTTAAACTATTAGTTGCATTGGTGCATTATTTGCAAACTGCAGTTTGCTTGTGGTGTCATCTATGTGACATTGTGAGGCTCTCTCATTTATAGGTTTTTTTCCACACAGAATAAAAAGTTATTTTTATATAGAAACAGTAAAAAGTTAATTTAATTTACAAATAGTAAATGATCATTGAATTCCCTTGACCACCTACAAATATGACTCCACATAAGAATACCAGCTATCTGTCAGTCATACGTATAGACACTAGGATGTTGTTCTCTGTGCAAATGGTTAGTCAGAGTGAATTAAAACAGATCCAGCATCAGTGAAGTGAACAGATGCTTACATTTCAAATTAATGTCCATGAGTCCCGGCCTGCAGCATTGAAGCAAGCCTGTTGATGAAGAGTGACTCACTGCATCAAGTAGTGTTCCAAGGATATAAAAGGAGGACGTGATTTTAATGGAACTCCAGGGACATGTGTAGAATCACTCCCTCTGTCACAATATTCCATTTAGCTTAAACAATTTGCACGCAGGCTTCCTTGGAAACTGTCACTGGCACACTGTACCTCACAGCAGCTCCCAAGTGAGTTTGCAAACTTTGTTAAAAGAACAGGATTGGGCATGTGCGTTATAAACTCACTTTCTACTTTTACATATACACTAGAAGTGAATATATATTTGCTTCAAGACCTGATGAAAGAATGACATTAAGACTCTACATCTAGAGTTCCTTTAAAAATTAACAGCCTGAATAAATGGATGATGTTAAGCTACAATTACTTTCAAGGGTGGGGGTTGTGGGGTTTCTTTTGTTTGTAATGTGACTAGCATTCCAGGTGTTCCCTGCAAGTAAATAAATACCATGAATGTATGTAAATCAGACATTTTCAGTGTATAGGTACACACATTATTAATATGCAATTCTTGCTATAATTAAAACAGACTAGCCTGTTCATGTGCTGTTTACTAACAAAATCTAACATAATCATCTACAGGTTGTAGGTGTACACCATTTGCTAAAAATACCTGCTGAAAGGCTAAGTATATTAACAAATATGTCAGTCATATCCCTACCTCCAAGTGCAAATATCCTTTTTGCTGTGGGGGTGGGTTGTTCTCTGCCACCTCACCTCCATCCTTAGGTAAACAAGCTTCAGGCAAGGAACTTGTAACTTTATTTCCTTTTTAATTCTGTGAATCTAGAATATACAAAAGAGAGTAAGTTAACAGCCTTAAATGCTGAAGCCCTTTTACATAGCAACAAAAAAGTTGTCACACAGACAGTGGCACCAATACCAGCTTCTCTGTATCACATCGCCCGTGCCCAACACTACAGAAAAATATTCCATAGCCTACTGGCATTTCTTTGGAGGAGGCTAGTTAATTTAAAATGTGATGATGGTTTCCGTGAACTAAGATCTGTTTGCTATTTTACATGGAGGAATAATTATTTGAAAGAAGGCTGAAGAAAAGTCATCAGTTAACAATAATTTTCAGGTATTTCTGACCTAGAGTTAGATTCATATTAGTTAAATAAGTATGAAAAAAAGGCAACAGATTCTTTCTCCACTGTGTCTTTAAGCGTCCAATTATTTCATAAGCTGGCCAAAGCTGACAACTGAATTTGGCAGAACAGCATCCAAGTGAAAACTGGTATCATGAAACCCAGGTAAGAAAGAAACAACAACTAGCTACTCCAAACAAGTGTTAACTTTAAGTTAATCACAGAACAACAGAAACTGTATAACTGCTGTATATTAATTATAAGCTAATAAAAAGAAGAGCACCCTACAAGACTAAATGTTAAGGTGATTTTATAGCAAACTCCAGTTCATCCTGAGGTTCCCATTTGCAGATGCTCAGTCATTTCCTTTAAGAACTAAATTCCTGAAACACTAGTAAAATAAGTGAACTCTTCATACAACAAGTGAACTTCTTCATACAACGGTTAGCTATGAGTGAAACTAACAGCTTAATTTTATCCATCATTTGTAGCCCTAGTATTGCTGATTACCTTCCTCATCTATGAATTACAGAGTTTTTACTTGCAGTGTTATTCTTCATTTACTTGCAGTGTTATTCTTCATTTACTTGCTGCATTATGTTGGCAATGTTTTGATTAAAATATCCTGAAATTCATTACTGCCAAGGTGTAGTTTCTCTTCAGCAGAGGTCCAACCCCCCCCGGCAGTCAGCAATTGTTAATCTGTTACCTAGCTGCTTATTGAACACACTCTTGCATGCCCTCAGAAAAGGGAGAGTTTGGTTTCAGACCTGCAGACTTTTGCTTTATCTTGGCAGGTAAGAGCAGCAGTGTTTTCAGAAAAATATAAGTGGTTTTAATTAACCCAAAGAGATCCAAGCCAGTGATGGAGCACGACCATTAGGAATGCGTTTCTGAAATGATGAGGAAATCCATTTTCTTTCATTAGATAATACAAAGGAAAATTCTATGGATCACATGTATACAGGAGACAGAAAACTTTGATGCCAAATGGAGTTTACAGAGTGTTTTGCCTTAGCAAGAGGAGACCTTCCGAATTGAAACAAGGATAGGAAAATATAAGATGCCTCCTCTCCCTTATTTTTACTGTGAAAATATGTTGAACCAGCCTGGAAGAAAGTTTTCCTTGATTTTGAAACAATTCAAAGACAAAGAAGTATAAATAATTGCCATTGTTAACTAAACATGATTACCCTCTTCTATATAGGATGTTAATGCTGATACCATCATACAGATGATCATTACTATACAACAGTTGGTGCAAAATATATCCCAATCCAAGCAGATCCTAAGATTTTGGTCCCTGCATATTTGCACTTGATAACGCTACAGGGTCAACAAAAAGAGACATGAGATTTGATAGATACAAAAAAGTCGGGTTGGTTGGTTGTTTATTTTCTTATTTAGGATTTAGCTTTCACAGAATACAAAGGCTATATTTTATATTAAAAAAAAAAAAAAACAAACAAAAAAACCAACCAATCAAACCAATCCCCCCCTCCCCCCCAAAAAAACAACAAACCCCCAAAACAATCCTTGGAAGAAAAAACATGTAAAATAGAGGGATACTGTGCTTTAACATGTGTTTCATACTGATTTTTCCTATATTAGGAAGAACTTCAAAATCTGAATTTTACATATTTTAATTTAATTTTAGCTCTAATGGAAGTTATCACTTCTCTATCTCAATCACAGCTAAAGATTCTCCAAGCACAATCATTTCATTGTCCTGCAGTTTTATTTGCACAGGCTGGCTGCTTGATTTATTAGCATAGATTGACTATATTCAGGGCCTGCTCAAGTTGTTTTGGCAGCCAGGGGAAGTAACTATTGACTAATTGCCAACTCAGTCTACTAAGACTTTCATAGCTTAGAGCAATGCAAGATCCTGTCTGTCTGACCAAAAAAGCTTCCGAAATACAGAGGATTGCTCTCTTACAGAAAGATAAAATTAGTAAAATAATAAAAAGATGCCATTGTAAATTAGTGCCTGCTATTAGACTGGAGTCTACTCAGGGTAATGGCAAGTAATGCGTATCTATGAGAAGGAAGAATTTGACACATTACATGAAATCATAAGACACGTATCACTAGAACACAAGGGACTGTCTTACGGGCAGTGCTATTTACCAAAAGCATTGAGCTTAACATGCCAACCAAAAAATCCATTCAGCTGTCATGGATGCCTGATCTCTCATTAAAGTATTACAGTAAAAAACTCCCCATATGCTTACTCAGATGAATAGCTGAAAAAAGTCTTTGCGTTAAGGCAATACTGGTAGAGTTACTACAGGCAGACAAGGGTAAGAAATGAAATTCAGCCCTCTTGTTCTAATCCGCTTTCTCATAAAAGTAAGACTTTTTTTCTTATTGGGAATTTTAAATGACTTAGGCACTTGTTTCAGTTTTTTCTTCTGATGTATACACAGTGGTCTCCACTGAATTACTTCGTTTACAGGCAGCAAAAATTTTAATTGATCCTGCATAGGTGAAAGAAACACAGATTAGCTGGGGGTTACAATGTGGTTTGGAACATCACTAGATCAGTGGTGAAATCCTTCCACACCTTGGTGTGGTTGCTGAGTGATACAGGATCAACACGAATGGAGTTGAAGACGGAATATATACAAGCCAAGAAGTGGTATATTAGAAAGACATTCTTTCCCAGCCGCTGACTACTTTTTTTGAGGTTGTGTGTGGGCTTCTGTAAACCACATCTGATCTGAACTGATATAATCAACAGTATTTTTTTTTTCAAGGAACATGCAGCAATTATCT